CTCAGTGAGAACTGACTATATGTCAGGCGCTGTGCTGAGTATTCGTGATGGAGAGTAAATCAGTTCCTCGATCAGCCTGCAGTTATGATCAGTTCTATCAGCACATAATCACCATATTGTTGAAAAAGGACAATATAGAATCAGGAATGGACTTATATGGGAATATTGAGTAGATAAATAAAATCCAGTCTGCCCCCAGGATGCCTACAGTCTAAGAACATTTGTTTAGAGAATTGTGCTCTTTTCTGAATGATAGCTGTGTGTCTGTTCCAGGCATCATGCTATGTTTATTAGGTGCTATGTTTCTAGTCCTCAAAGCACCCCTAGGATGAAGGCTGTATGCTCTTAATTTTCAGATGAGGAAACTAAAACCACCTGCCGAGACCCCTGGTACAGGGAGCATAAGTGCTAATGCTCATTGGCAAACTGAGTGGGGATTTTTACACTGTGCACCCTAAGTTAACAGTTGACAAATCCCCAGTGGAAATGTTTCTCCAGAACTTCTTTTCTGCCACCATCCCATGCAAAACCTCTCACCCTTTTTGGCTACTCATCCACTCCTGGGCTGCTCGTCTCCCTCTTAGGCACAGTAACTTCCCTCTGTACTGAAGCTTCGAGGCCAGACAATATTCCTCATCCAAGCACTCTGAGAATTTTCCCAAAAAAGGAGGGCCTAGAAATCTCTGTATCGACTTCTAAGAGACCATGAAAGTATCCATCTCCTTGCCTGCTGGAGATCTGCAAAGTGATGCATTTGAGGTGTGAGTAAAAGATCCTGAGTCCGTCCTATAAGAAAGAGATTCCCTGCCATTCTGCTGCTGATGCCCTGAATGGATCCCAGGGTGGGTGCTAGGATGTGGAGCCCTCGGCTCTCAAGTAACCAGTGTTTGCCTCAGTGAGCTACATATTTTCTATGTGTGCCATGACTTTAAAGGACTGGGAAGCACCACTATGAGTCATCCAATGAAACGTCTAGGGCTTGTCTGTGCCAATAAGTGAGAGAACTTAACCTTGAGAGAGTGAGAGAGAGAAGGCAAATGGGACAATGAGAAGTAGGTGGGAGGAGATGCGTTTGGTGACCTTGGAAGATGAAACCCGCTGGTCCATCCAGAGACCCAACCCTTGAACTCATTAGCAAGGCCCTGTTGGCAGCTATTCTCACGGCCACAAATGTGAACTTATACTTGTCGAGATCAAGACTGTCAATTCATTCGAGATGCAAGGTCAGCTTTCCACTTGGAACTTTGTTCCTATCACAGCCATTTAATTACTTTGTGAGTTCTTAGAATTCTCTGAGAAAAAAAAAAAGCTGGCTTCAGAAATACAATATCTGACACTTTTTCAGGTTACAGTATTTTTATGAACTGTGAGAAACCTACAGCACCTTAAAGAAACTACATAAAGAAGGTGTCAGCATTTTCAATATAAACTCCATTTCCAAAGGTTTATGCATTCTGGAGAAATTTGCTTGAGGGTGAAACTTGGCATATGGTGCCTGAGCCCCTGACTGTCTACATCTCATTTCATAGGTACTTACAAATGAGCTCTTCAAATTCACTACATTTGGCACCTGTAATTTTTAGAAATAAAAAAATGGCTTTAATAGCAGGTGGTTTGTGAGTTTAGTGTTAAGAGCACAGACTTCTCAGAACTCAGGAATACCAAAAGTCCTGCTTTATAGAATCTGGTAGGACAATATTATAAAAGGAAAGAAGGGAAAGGAAGATAATTTAAGGGGACAGAAATCAGAAAATGTCAGTATTTTCAGAAGGGTACTGTCCTTAGCCTGCCTTCATCATTTCTCCTACCCTAGACCTCTCCTAGCCCTATTTCCCACCTTGTACTATAGACTAAGCCAGCACATACAGGGCTTTGGGGGCTGGGACTTTTCCCCAGTAAATCACTGAAAAGGCAGCAAAGAATCTCATTTTGCTTTTTGAGTCTTCATTTGAGGGGACTGGATTCAGTGCTCTCTGAGCCATCAAATACTCAGAAGGGAAAGAGTTCTTAGACAAAGCCAGAAAAACTGCCCTTGGAGGCAGTGCCTATCGCCTAGTCCCGAGAGCTGCGATTAATGCCAGAGAACCTTGGCATGGAAGTTTATGGATCAATTGAAGAGGGCAGAAGGAAGCGATACTGAGCAGTCATGGTCCTCAGAAACCATGCAGATCAGGATGTGCAGGCATCCTGCATGGGGGCAGCAACCATGCAAATACAGGGAACATTAACAGTAGACTCACACCTCAGGATGGGGAGCGTGGGAGCCAGCTAGAATTCAGGCGCCTGTTCCAATTCCAAAGGAGAAGCTGAGTGCCTTGCCTAGGAGCAGGATGGGGTGGGGGGCATTCTGTGAGCTTTCTGTTCACAACGCTGCCTCAATGGCTATTAACTGAGCGGACCCCACTTCTGGATTTATCTGTACTTTTGGGAAGGATCAGGATAGTTTGATGGTTAAGAGCTTGGTCTTTGTAGTTAAGCCTGACTGGATTCAAATCCAAGCTCTTTATCTATAGAGCGCATGGCCTTGGGCAAGTTACTTAACACTTTTGAGCTAGGGTTCCTCATTTGTAGATGGTGATGATAGTTCTTACTTTGTAAGGTCGTGAAGATGAAGCCATAACACCAAGAAAGGAGTGAAGTCCTAGTGGCTGCAATAAGCAGCCAAACTTGATGATTCGTATCCACAAAAGGGAAAGAGCTCCCCATGTCTTAATCCTGGCGAGCACGCTTTAGTTGGGGGCTACGCAATCCTGAAGGTGCTGGGAGTAAGTTAGCACGGGAGGCAGCCTGGGGCATGTGGGGACTAACACATCTCAGCTGTTACAGCCTGAGTCAGCTTCCCGTTGCCAAACACTGGGTCAGTTCTGATGAAGACCCAGTTGCTCCTGGGTGAGACCGAAGTACTTCAGCCTCTTAGAATTGCTCCAAGTACAACACATGGACATGCTAACTCTGAGGGGGTTTGTATTTCTAGGCTAAAATGAAGAAAAGACCTTGAAATCTGAATAGCACGGTCTTTCCTTTGGAACTTTTCTGGCAATGCCTCCCCATGCAAAGAACTGCTCCTTTCTCAAAAAGGCCCTTCTGTAACAATCAGGTCCCCTTAATTGAGGAGGAAATGAATAGAGAAGATAATGAACCATCTCTGAAGCTGGTTGAGAGTAAAGCTGGCCAGGTGGAGGCCTTGAAATGAATGGAGCTAAGGCTTGGCCATCGTGATCCTGAAAAAGAAAAGCCCACCCCATGCCATCACCATATGAATCAGGGCCCGGCAGTCCCTGACCAGTGTCTGAGATCCCATGGTGTATGAGGCGGCTAAATGAGAGAGGGTATCTGCAGCTTCCCACTAAATACCCCTTTGAAAATGGAAGCTGCTTCTTTGATAGGGACTTCGTCTCCCTAGTGCCTCCAAAACCAGCACCAAACCTACTAGAACCTGTAACAGCAAAGTCTGTCCGCAGCCCTACCCCCACCCCCCCTTTTTTTTTTTACCTTAGTGTTAGGAAATTCCCAGAATTCCACTACTCGCAGCAAAGCGGTTTTGAGGAAGAGGGTAGGGAATGGACAGGTTGGGGAATTCTGATACTAATTGCTCAGCACCAGATGAGATTGTGTAAGGAAGGCACTTATGGATAAACTATCCACCTACCAGGTACCTGCTAATATCTGATAAATATGCTAAACATTTTGCATATGTCACTGTTCATTATTTAACTCTTTCAGCTACCTTTCACAGTATGCTCAGTAGCGTTCTCAATTCTAGAGATTGGATGGCGAACATATTTCTATCCTCACAGCTATCCCATAAGGAACCTGAGACCTGCAGAGGCTGAGAATCCTGTGTCGGGGTTCATACAATAGCTATTGGCAGTTCCCACTTTCCAAGCCATTGTTCCATAAAGCACCACTAAAACGTTGGCTGTTGAGCCTCTTGATGCAAAGATTATGCCATATTCTGTTATGTTCACCACCATGCCCAACAGGGTACTAAGTCTTACTTAGTCTTAGAACCATAAGCTGCTGATACAAACTTTACCAAGGATGTTTTATTCTAGAATTATCATATAAACAGGAGACTTTGGGGGTGACAAGCCGATCTTGGAAGTTGTCTCGTTGGCTTGGATAAACCATTCCACCATTTCAGAAATCAAATATGCAATAATTTTTGCAGATATGTATTTTTGTCTGTATTTAATGTTTCTTAAAGATGAGACACAGCAGAATATGTTACCCATGTGTGGTGAAATCAACTCGATTTGTTTTAGAGAATAATAGTTTTAGGGATACCTGGGAGTGACAAGAAATCCAACAGGTACTGATGGGTTGTGTCACTGCGTGAAGTGAGAGGGAAAGAGGCAGTGGCTCTGTAGTCCTCTCAATAAATTGACTTCAAATGGCAGTTGGGTCAAATGAAGCCCACATGATAAAGTGATAGTATCATAGGTAAGGGACCTTTTGGGGTGACCTTATAGCGTGTGAATTACTTGCCCTTGCAATTAAATTGAGAGGCCAGAGACTTAGTTAACTGTCAAGTGGATGATAATTCATGTAAGAGATGCATAATTACCTTTGTTAGGACATCACTTCAATGTGTTATGTGTGCTTATTACTCATCGTATTTCGGTTAATAAATTTCACCTAATTGGTCGAAGTCATATGATTCCCAATTGAAATAATGGTGACCAAAAATAATTTTTGGTCTCTAATGACTGTTTTGTTTTGTTTTTTCTGTGGTAACTCTAGAGAGCCATCCAGGGTATAAGTACATGTGATTCTTAATGCCAGTAAGGGCTGTCTTTCATCATATTATGTGAAGGGAATATTTCCATGTTCAACTAAATGTCTGTTTGATGCCGCTCACTGGAAATTTACTACCCCATTAATAGTATTTCTTCCTTCTAGATATCCCCCTTCCTCCGGATCAGATACAAATCCTCACGATCATTTTATCCTTTTATGTGAGCCTTCTCTAATCCTCACTATGTTATTCTGTCTAGAATCCAACTGCCTGATGAGGACACTGGACAGTGGGATTGGAACCTTCCCACTCCCAGACTCGGGAAATCGCTCCACAGGGCGGTACATATGCCACCCAGACTCCCCAGAGGACACTGAGCCCAGCCTGTCTCTCCAGCCAGCACTTTGTGCAGCTTCTTCCATCAGAGCTCAGACCCTTGAACGAGAAGTGCCTTCCTCTGCAGACAGCCATGCCTCTGCAGATAACACCATCGTTCATTCCACATCGGACCCCATCATGACCGCCAGGGGCATGCGGCCTCTTGAAAGTCACCTCCCCAAACCAGCCTCCTCAGGTAAAATGCCTGTGACCGTCCAAATTAGATTGTTTCCACACCAAAATAATGCACTTGCTGACAACAAATGGAAAACAGGCAGCAGAAAAGATTTCCACCAGGAGGTCAGTCAGTGACCTCTGCCCGATGGGAATGTGGATGCGTGAAAATCCCTGTACGTCCTCAAACAAAAAGTAAACAGACCTGTGTTAAACATCATCTACTCTTAGTGTTACGGCACGGGATATACACACACGTAAAGGAAACAAGCACGTAAGCACAGGTATATGGACATATATACTGATGAAGAAAAAAAACCACACAACATGCACATAGGATTTTATCTTTTAAAACCTAACTCTGAATATAGACCTGTTTAGGCCCGAGACATAAATTTAGCTGAAATGTTGTTTGCCCTCTAACCAGAAATGTAGGTCTTCTGACATGTTCCTATCCTGCTCAAATATATTTATATGTTGAACTATAAAAAACTTAGTTTGATATACCAGCTGTAGATTGTGCATTAAATGCAATAGAGTGGAATGAGCCTCCTCGCTGAGATGCACTACCCTTCGTCACAGTCAATTGAAACAAGCTTCCATGATTAAAGATAGGACTAGGCTAAGGGTCAAAGTTTTTTCATTGTTCCCTCAAGATTAAAAATATTTATTGCAGTGCAGGATGACACTAAATAATTTTTAACTTGCACGGCTTAGGTTGCATTTATGACATGCATAAGTATCTGAACTAGAACTCTAAAGACTCTCTTTTATGATTTGATGACTAGAAAGGAGCCACAAGTAGAAATTATACTGTCGGCTTTTGAGAAATTAGAAAAAAAGACTTTTAATTAAATAGCTTCAAATAAATGTGATTGAGCTATTCTCAAGGCTGAGTTCTTCATACAACAATACCAACTACCATGAATGTTTCATCACAAACTTCTGCTCATTCCAAGCCAAGGCTACATTTTAGAAGGCTGTAATGCATATTATTTTTTAAATAAATGCATTATTAATTAATGACACAGCCTCCAGAGATTCGGGGGCAAAATCTTAGTTATAGATTATGTGCTCCATGCTTGAATAGTCACATGTGTGACCTCAATTCAGCGGCGGGCTGCTGAGTAGACTTCATAATTAAACACTGTCATTATAACAAATTGAATAGAAACCACAAGCCTTGAATTGCTTCATAAGAAGGGGATTGGAAGGAGATTGTTCTGATCTTGCTGCTAATATTCACCACACTGGTTTTGGAGGTTTGTGTCTTAATTAAATTGTCATGAAGGGATGTAAAAAAAAAAAAAATATATATACGGTAGAGAGTGAGGTCAACAGAACCACAGGGTATAATTTTGTCCCCCACCCCGCAGCTTCCGGTCTACCAAATGATTAGCATCACTGCGGTCCAGACGCAGGTCTCCCTTTCCAAGGCTGTTCTTTTCTCTGTGGCCAACGGCGACTCACTGGAAAAATCAGGGAATGGAGGAATGGCTGGACCAAAAGGAAAGTGAGGTCATTCCCACTTAGAGGAGTCCCTTCCTGTTTCATGCATGTATTTCAATTTTTTCACTTATCTGCATAATCAAAAATAGAAGTAACTGTACAAGTCTCACAGTGCTGGCGAAAATACAGTGACTTCTCTTCTGCTCACAAGCAAAATGCTGTTGAGAGGCTCTCGCAGCATGTCCTGTTGGTAATCACTGAGGATGGAGGATAATAACAGCGATTCTCCTTTCTGGCAGGAGGAAGGAATTCACTCTGCAGGTTAATCTACTATTAAGGGTAATGGGGGAACTTTCTTTAATCATTCCCTGCTCATTACACCCTTGCTACTCAGGGTGTGATCCATAGGCTAGCATAGCATCGTCAGAATGGCCCGGGAGCTTTTCGGAAATGCAAAATCTCAGACCTGCACTCTAGACCTTCTGATTCAGACGCTGCAATTTAACAAAAGCTCAGCTGATGCGTAGGCACATAAAAGCTTGAGAGTACTGCCCCAAAAGATCTTTAAGAGCACAGTTGCCCAGGGCACATTCTGAGTGCATTGGAAATGACCGTAATGGGTATTCTAGGAAAATAAGGGTTCCCTGCCCAAGTATGTTTGGGAAGGGCTTCTTCTTCTTCTTCTTCTTTTTTTTTAATTTTTCACTTTATTATCACAAGTTAAGCTCAAAAGAAGCATGGGGGAAAGATCTGCTTTTGAAATCAGGCAAGCTAACATTCTCAGAATATACTTATACTCTAAATATGAATCCTCAAAAAAGATCTGGAAAAGACTTTTCTCTCTAAATTTATAGTATTGTCTTCAGAATAGGGCATATTATTTAGGGCTTCCAGTTCTAATCCTTTCTTTGGACAATATGACAATTTTCAATAGCACAATGGAGGTTCTGAGAAGTGCTCCCAAAAGGAGACCTGTTTATCATTTGATGCTTAACACTGTTTGAGGAGTAATCGGTGTTTCCCAAAGGGTTTGCTCACTGACCGCTTCCTAACATGAGAAGTCTATCAACATTTTGTGGAAAAGTTTGCCTTCAGTGGGATACCCAGCTTTGACTGTATTTGGACTTTTTTTTATTATTTTTTAATGTCTCCCTCACTCCCCTCCCTAAACTTGTAAAGAGTGAAAGGAAGCAGATTATGACTTCATGTACATTTCCTCATTTAGGAAAAATCAATTCCCAAAAGCAGAATGAAGCAGAGCCAAGGCCCCAGACCTGCTCGCCATTTGAATATGCCGAAAACACAATCGCAAGCGAGCAGCTTCCAGGCTGGGGGGGCGAAGACCCCACGGCTGAGACCCAGGTAAGGGGGGTGGCTGACAGGAGGGCACCCTCCACCTGTTGCTCCTGATGGTGAAAAATGACCTCCTTAAACCTTTTCACGAAAGATTCAGTTTTTGAATCAAATTTGTCGTTCGCTCAGTGAATAAAAACAAAAGCCCAAGGCTCACCTTCTTCCCTGCATTGTAAAGGAACACCATGGGTCTCTGGGAGGAATTGAAATGCTTCCACAAATCTGTCCCTAGATTCTTGAGGCATGGATGCTCTGCCCAGATTAGATGTTACAGAATGGGCACTCACTTTCCTAAGCCATAAGAGCACCATTGAGAATGATTTAATGATACTTTTTCATTATCTTATTCTTACTTTAACCTTTATACCTCGTTCCTACGGGACAGGTAAAGGAGGTATAATTATACCCCAGAGTAGTCACATGACTTGCCAGGGTCAGTGAGACCTGCATCTCTTCAGCCTCTACCGTTTTTGCTATGAGATCTTCATCCACCCTGAGATGGCACACATAGGGTTCCTGACATGTGATTGGACCTAGGAAGTTGCTCATGGCTCAGGGACATTTCTATCATCCCTTGGGGTTACTTGGTATTCCCTCCTGTGTTTCCTCCTATTTACCCCTTCCAGCTAGTTACCTAGGGCCATATTCAGCCTGTTCACTATTTCCCAACTTGTCCTGGGTGGGCCCCCTTCAGGCTCTTTCTTGTCACCTGGCAGTGAGAAGGGTGGGAAGAAGAACATATGGATCAATTACCAGAGCTTCCCCACCCTTCCTTAACTCTTCTCACTCCTGCTGCCTTTGTCTCCTCCAGTCTTGGCCTTAGAAGCCCCCATTGCTATTTCTACTAGAGTTTCTACCAACTATGATGAGAAAATATCCAGATTAGCCCACATCCGGGGTCACCCACAACCAGTGGGGCCAAACCTTCTTTCAGCCTTTAGCATCTCAGTATGGAGCCATAGACAAGTAGGGAAAGAAATTCTCGAGGCCCACAGCCTCAATTTTCAGCAGAGAACACAACTCCAGAGAGATGCTGGATCATATTCAGGGTCCTTACTCAGGAGTCGGGACTAGAACTCAGCCCTCTGAATTCCATGTCTGACACTCAGAATGGCAGCCTCTATAAGACAGGAGCCTAAGAGGCAAAAGAGTAAACCAATATAGTCTATCAGGCCTTAATTTAGACATAAAAATGTTAAGACTCCTCCAAAGCAGTGGTTCCCAAACATGAGTGGGCATCAGAACCACCCAGAGGGCTACACATCCATGCATGCCATGTCCGATTTTGTACTGATGAGTTGAGGTCCAAACATTTCGAACAAATTCCCAGGTGATGCCAGTGCTGCTGGGCTGTAGAAAATACTTTGAGAAGCACTGTTCCAAGGACTCTGTGCTTGCTTTAGGAACTGGAGAGTTGAGAAAACCCTAAAGACACCCAGAGTCGGAGGGGAAGTCGTTCAAAAACAACAGGTCATGACTGTGGCAAAGGGGTTCAGGCAAATCCAAGAAAGTAAAAATAATAATAATAACAACAACAACGGCTGACTGCTGGCCGGGTGAGGGCTGTTCCACTACATGTGATGGTAAGACACTCCTCACCCGACATACACGCCCAGCAGCAAAGACCCCTCTCTGGGGTTCTCTCCCTCATCACTGCCCCAGCTCTGCCCACTGGAAAGCTCGCTCTGATTTGAGAGGGTCACCGCTGTGGCTTAGAACTTAGAAGCCTACTTTGCTGATGGCCAGGGGGAAGGAGTTGGAAGCAAAAGTTAGCTTACATTTCTAGCACCCAGCACAGGGCCTGGTTCCGTTAACGTTTGTTGAACGGAGGGGTGAAAAAATTCATCTCCTACTGCAGAAAGTGTTACTGGGGCCGTACTGGAACTCTAGACGTGGGGCTCCCCAAGCACCCCAGCCTGGAGACTCATCATCCTTCATGGACATCATCCTTGCTGGACTACCAGTATCCTGCGTATTGAACTCGCTACCCCCAGAGCCTAGCACTCCTCTTAGCAGAGAATAGGCACTCGATAAGCGTTTGTTGAAGGGGTGAATGGATGAGTCAGCGAATAAAGGAATAAAGGACTACATAGCTGCTTGAACTTATAACTCCAGATGAGGGGTTTACATCCTAAAATGTGTTTTTATAATTTCCAACCGAATGACACCCTCCCAAACAGATTTTAGAGACCCAGATGGGTGGGGAATAATAGGCTCTAACATCGTAGCCCGCAAACCTGAAAGACGTTCTTTTATAATTCTATACACAGAAGTGCAATCTTAGTTCCAGTATTCTGATCCTGTGCACAAAGTGGGGGGTGGGGTGGGGACTGTTTATACAGCATCGACCACCTCAGCAATTCCTGACAGGGCCTTATTGCCACACCAGTGACGACTCGAGGGTCAGGCTGTGTGTACCTGTGAGCAAGAGGGGAGACGGAGTCCCTCAACCCATGAACTTTCAGTTGATTCGAGGAGTATATTGGGTTAGCAGTTGCGTACTTTCCTAAAGGCTCCTGTCCTTTCAAGGGATAGAAGGAAATCGTAAATTAGGCAAGCATTTCTTCTTTTGTTCTCAAGGTTGATTCTTTCCGTACCCTCTGAGACTTGAAAGCCAGTGATGAGATCAGTTAAACAAATAAGCCATTAGGCTCGGAACAGCAGCTCATAATAGGCACTTGAGAGAAATAAGACCCCATAAAGAAGTGTACAAAATGCAGATCAGGTAGCTGTGAGGACTTTCCTGTACCTGGGACAATGGCAGAGTGGTCAATGGCTTCATTAGTGCAGCCCTGCTTCTACAGCTCTGGTAATTGAGTAGACTGGGCCAGCTCCAAGAGAGGCAAATAGAAAGGGAAAGCAGAGTTGTGCTTGGGGTGGCGCAGTGGAATGGAATTCGGCCCGCGATGAACCGTGTCCCATCCTCTCAGGATGTTCTGCCCCATTTCGACTTGCGTGAATAATCTTAACGGTCTCGTATTACTTATTTAGGACAAGGTACCCAGAATGTGTGCATACTCTGCTGGTGGTGGCAGTGATAGTGACAGTGACCTGGACTATGGAAATAATGGTTTTGGAGCTGGAAGGGGCAAGTTAGTGAAAGCAAGGAAGAGCACCACCCAAGGTAACTTAATGGGACGCCTGGACATCTGGGGCTCCTCTCTCTCCCCGAAGCCGCTGATTTTGCCTTTCACTGTACTCTGCCTCCACCCCCACCCTTGACTTTACATCTTAGCCCCACATCTCTCCTGAGATCTAATTTTCTGGTGTGTACGGAAGATTGTCTATGCGCATCAATTTGTTTCCTGGTATAATCTTCATGACATTTCAGTGCAGTCTGTAAGGATTTTATTTCCAAATCTGGCATCTCCCAAAAAGTCTCCAATTGAGTTATCTCAGTAATGAAGGAATGATTAGAAAGATAACTTTGTTCTTAATTACATCCTCTGGCAAGTTAAATCGTCCGGTGAGCCACGGATGGAGCCTTTCAGGCTTTTTGCTAATATCGTGCTGTGTAGCTCTGCACCTGTGAGGCGTGCCGTTATGAACAGGTCTGTTTATGAAGTTCAAACTCACTCACAGCATTTTCTTTTTGAATCAGAATTGGCAGCAGAAGAACCATCATCCCGAGGCATTTAAAATTGTGTATTTTCAGACCGCTTTTCTTTACAGCTACAGGGACAGATGAACCCCTGATACAAAATGGGATCTGGGGTCTACTTTCCTTCTAATCTACTCTGGATTGTCAGAAATATTTCAGTGATGCAATGGAGAATCATTTTGTTCATACTAATCGACTTTTTTTCAAATACTAATTTAGCACTTATATGATGAAAACAATGACTTTGGTTTTTTTTTTAAAACAAGACTGATAAATTGCTTTAGGGAAAACCTAGCAACCAAGTGTGTTTACAGTTTTCCAAGAGTCCTGGCATTGGGACATGTGGGGGTAAGAAGAGCCATTAGCCCGAGCCTCCACTTTGTTCCTTGCTTCCTACAAGTTATCAGAGAAGGAGGACCAATGGTGAAACCATACAACGGCTTACCAAGAAGAAAGTGATAAATACCCTTGGTATTGTAGTTAGGTTGGTGTCCCCATTGGCTCTCTCTGGTTTGTCGGTGCCCCTCTGGTTGTGGCAAAGAAAGGGGGAGGGGAGGTGATCGTCACAGGACCGCCCAGTGAAGACACCTAGGGCCAGGCCAGCTGTTGGTCCAGTTCTTCCCTTGAACTTATTGTGGGTCCACAGTGGCTAATTTCACCTCATTGACCTTAAGCTGCTCCATCCAAGAGCAATTTTCAGGGTGCCTTCCAGCTCTAAAACTCCATTTATTCATTGAACAAATATTTATGGCAAGCCTCCTCTGGGCCAGCTTTCCCAGCAGTGAGTAACTAGACAAAATTCCCTGCTGGAGAGTAAACAACAGATATGATTAACTAGTAAATGTCTATCATTTGTTGAAAAGAGACGAGTGCTGTGGAAAAGACAAGGGGAAGCAGGGTAGGGTATGGGAGGGCAGGACTGCTGGTGGTGGGGGCGGGGTTAACATTTAAAAAAGTGGTCTTACCAAGTCTCACTGAGAAGGTGGTGTTTGAGATCGGAAGGAGGAGAGGGAGTGAACCGGGAGGATATCTGGGGGAAGAGCATGCTCAGCGGAGGGAACAGCCAGAGCAGAAGCCTGGAGGCAGGAGCAGCAGGACGCCAGTGTGGTTGTGGCCAGAGCAGTTTGGAAGGGGGACGCAGATGAGGTCAGACAGGTAAAAGGAGCCAGAGCTCATAAGGGCTCGCTCGCCATTCCGAGGACTTGGCTAGACATGCATGGGAGCCTTGGGATGACTTTGAGCAGAGAAGAGGCATAACCTAAGATGTTCCCAAAGGATCTCTCTGGCTCTCATGTTGTAAAAGACTGAAGGAGCCAGATCAGCCCCGAGGCTATTGTAGTCACCCAGGCAAGAGATGTTTAGCGGCTGGGGCAGGATGGTCTCGGTGAAAGGAGTGAGCAGCCCTCGCCAGTACCAGAGCCATGAGCCACATCTGGCCCATAAGCACTTGAAATGTGGCTAGCACAAGCAAGGAACAGAATTTTTAAATTTAATTTTCTCTGTTTTCTTAAGAGTTCTCACTTGGTCCATTCCCTTTTTTCTCTATTATATTTTTATCTTAATTGAGTTCGACTTAAATATCAATAGCCACATGCAACATATACAACATGGAGTGAGAGTGGTCTGATTCCAGATCTAATTAAAAAGACAACACAACTTACTGACAGATTAGAGGTTGGGGGTAGAGGAAATAGCAGAGTCTAGGGTGGCTCCAAGGTTCGGGTCCTGGAAGGGACAGTGCTCTGCTGACTGAAATGGGGAAGGCTGAGGTTGGAGCTGGGGGAAGCATCTTGGACATGCTCAGTGTGAGCTGCCTGTGGGGCAGGTGGAAATGTGGAGTAGGCATGGGCTGTGGGCGTCTGGAGCTCAGCAGATCAGGTCTGGTCTGGAAATGTAACTTTGAGTGTCAGCATGTAGAGGGTCCAGATGTGGTCAGGAGGGGAGGGAGTGTTGATAGAGAGAGAACCCCATCCTCCTGAGTTCACAGGTCAGGGAGAAAAGAAAGAGCCAGCAAAGGAGACTAAGCAGGAGCCAGCAGGAAGGGAGGAGGAGAGCCAGGGGAGCATGGTGTCTTAGGAGCTAGGTGAAGAGGGGTGTCAGGAGTGAAGGGGGAGTTCCGTGATTCCATACGTGGTTGGTTACTAAAAAGAGGGATACAATCTTCATCTTCAGTGGTCTGGTCTCTCCCTCTGGCAGTGAGTTTCCAGTGAGGGGGGTGGAAGGAAGGAATTGACGAGGGGAAGAGGGATGGTCCAATGGCAATTTGAACACATCTTGAAAAAGGAAACAAGCCAAACTGTGTCAATGAACAAGTGCTGGAGTATGCAAGAACATACTTTAGGGTTCACATTTTAACATTGCTTTGTTTAAATGAGCCGTGCAAAGCAATCAGGAATAAACATTAGGGGAAGGCTAGGGAAGAACCTGGGGAACAGTGACCTTGTTCCTTTAACTTTTCTTTTTGCTCTTTTTGCAAATGGCAGTGAGTCTTAGCCAGAGTTTTCTTAATCTACTCACTTTGTTCATCCTATTCCTTCGAACCAGAGCAAATCCCTATTTGAGAGGAGGAACTCCTTCCATTCCGTTACTATAGCCTCTGGGCAAATGGTGCTTCTTTGGAGGAATTCTTAATCTCAGGAAACAAACTGAGGGTTGCTGGAGCGGTGGGGGGTGGGAGGGATGGGCTGGCTGGGTGATAGACATTGGGGAGGGTATGTGCTATGGTGAACACTGTGAATTGTGTAAGACTGTTGAATCACAGACCCGTACCTCTGAAACAAATAATACGTTATATGTTAAAAAAAAAAAAAAAAAGGAAAGGAAAGGAAAATAGTAGGAAGGGTAAAATGAAGGGGGGGAAATCGGAGGGGGAGACGAACCGTGAGAGACTATGGACTCTGAGAAACAAGCTGGGGGTTCTAGAGGGGAGGGGGGTGAGGCGATGGGTTAGCCTGGTGATGGGTATTAAAGAGGGCACGTATTGAATGGAGCACTGGGTGTTATACGCAAACAATGAATCATGGAACACTACATCAAAAACTAATGATGTAATGTATGGTGATTAACATAACATAATAAAATAAAATTTAAAAAAATGAAAGAAGCCAAGGGCTAGGTAGGCTAACTCTGGAAGCAGCACCACCAATGAGAAGATGCTTTTCCTCCAGCCAGGCACCTGCTTTTAATAGTGAACTGGCTAATAGTTTTTATGGTGAACTGGCTAATAGCTTCTTTTAATAGTGAACTGGCTAATAGCTCAGCCCTGGCCGATGAGAGTGCTGCCAGGAAGAAGGAATGTGTGCAGACAGCTGGTGTGGCTGTGGGTGCCTGCCGGCTTCCAACAAACCCTAGGAAGAGGCAGGTAGGGTGGACGCAGCAGCATGAACTTTATCAATGCTGGCAAAATGGATCCGAAAAGAAATAGAAATGATTCAGAGAAAAACACTACAAGGAGTACGTATCCTGGGTGTGTGGGTGACATGTCCTTCCCTGCCAGCCACCATTTTGCCTGGCTTTCATCACATGCACCTGTGAAAGTGATCCCCACCCCCCCACCAGCTTTGTAACATGATTTTGTAATAGAGGTCTCCAACCTGCCGAATGGAATTGCTGGTAGATCTGGAAGCCTTACTGGATGCTCTCCAAGATAGTTGTCCTTTCTCAAACACTCCCTCTCTATCCCTGGCTCCTTGAAATTTCCTGCAGGTAGAGAAGGGCAGTTGATGGTGGCAATCTGTCCCTCCATGGGTTGTAGGAAATGCACAGTCAGGGACCTCTGCCTGTCACCCCATGCCCTCCCCGCCACCCCCTCCCCCAGGCCACTGCTCAGTCATTAGTCACTTGCCCTGCTAATCACAGCATGCCCGGGGATGAGGGGGGAGGATTTCCGTTCAAACAGAGTGTCCTGTGACCCCCACATTCCCTGGTTTCTCCTTCCCACTCGCTTCTTTGAATCACACTGAATGTGACCAAAGAAACCTACTTTCCAAAACCCTGCCTACAGGCTCATAAAACACTAAAGTAAATACATGTCTTTTCTTTCAAGGTGAGTTTCTTTAGCTTAACTTTGAAATATAAGTTGTTAGCACCAAGCAGCAGGAGCAGGATTAAGGAGTTGGGTAGGTGGCCCAGCGGGTGAGGTTTCAGACAGAAGTAATTTTGTGGCTTTGTTTCCACAGAGCTGCCCACTCTAATTTGCTAAGCTAGGCATAGCAAACATTCCCACCTCTTTCCTGCAGGCAGGGCCTTGGAGAAGGCATGAGCAAGGGCAGAGGTAGAAGGGGAAGGGGAGAGACAGCAAGCCATTGGAAGAATGTTGGATGAGTTAAGACCCAGGGAGTTGCAACAATGGAGCTCCAATCTCTGGATGAAGGGAGGCCAGGGGAGTCTCACCCCTGGCTGAACCTGCCGGACCTGATTTGTAGCAAGTCAAATAACAATCCCTAGCCAATGCTAGTCTCCCAAGCTGCTGACTGATCTATCAGGCTGCCCACCACCATTGCCAACCCCACCAGGTACCTCAA